TGTCTTGATAAATAACACATATGGTCAAATATACCATTTTTTTTCCAGCACAAAGGGCTTACCAACTATTAAACTAAAAACAAGGAAAAACTCCAACATAAAACACTGAGATATAGAACCTTGGTAAAGTACCGAGCACCTAGGACGGGGTAGTTAGGGGAAAGATGAAATAGGAGGGTAGAGAAAGGAAGATTGGGGAGGTAAGAGAGATGCTTAAAAAAAAAAAAAAGAGCATCTTTACAGTCATTTAGTCTTTTCTATGATCACTTCTTAAGTCTTAAAAGATCTGCATGTGGATTTCTTTTTAAATCCACTGACCATAAATCAGACAATGGTTTCAAAATCCTAGTAAGATTGTGTTCAACTGTTATAATGTAAAGATAATTGCACAATATATGTGCTTCTTGATCCGGTAGGATTCCAAGCAGAATCTGAAGTCCATAAGTTAAGGAAGGCTTCACTTTAGGTAACTCTGACCCTAAAGAAAACCTCATGAAAGAACTCACATCTCAAAGAAAGGACACTTTGCCTAAGTTTGCTGTGTTTTTGTTGACTTGCACTACTTATTGCTGGCTACTATGAAACACTGATCTAGGAGTACTCCAACAACCTGTAGTACAAGGCTTTACTTTAAAAAGTTATAGTAAACAAGAGACAAAATCAAAGCAATTCTCTTTCCTAATTAGTAACAGCACAGAGAATGCAATCTTTTCCATATCACAGTTAAAGTACAGTGAACAAAACAGCTCAACAAACCTTAAGACAAAAAAGTGCAGGTTATTAATGTTCACATGCAGTTGATAAGCATTCCAAATGTCACATTATGCACTGTTAAAGCTCAACTTTACTATATGGAAATAAGAAAAATGCACCTTGGGGAAGGGGAAAAGCAATTTAATCATTTCCAGTGATTTTGTAAGTAAAGAAATTCCTAACTACTGTACGGTCACCTCATATTTAACATTGTATGAATATTAAAAGCAAACAATTTAATGGGAAAATGCACAGTACAATGAAAATAGCTTGTTGTTCAACACATACAGTAGATCTCAAAAACAAAGACAACACACTTAACCAGGGAGCTTAAAAATATCAAATCAAAACCCAAAGAACCAGCAGAAAAAAAAAATCCTTCAAAAAGACAACTGTTTCACCTTCCTAGGCCAATGCTTTACAATAAAAGAAGCACTATAAACTTTCTTACTCCTACAGGTGGAGTCTTCTACATACAGCAGTTAGATCTATATGGCTGGATTTGCCAAGAAACAATTCCATCCCCAGAGCTCTCTGTCAGACAAGACCCAAGATCCTTTTCTTTCTTTTTCTTTTTTTTTCTTTTTTTACCAAAATACTTTCTACAGAATTCCAAACCAAAATGTACTATTTAAGGCATCTTTTTTATAACATTTTCTCTTCACTCAAAGATGATAGTCATGCAGCAGTTTAATGATAAAAATATATTAATATTTTACTATACAGCAGCAAGAAGTTAGTTGTCAATTAAAAGCACACAAACATCTTTAAATGAAAATCTGTAAAAGACTATCGTTACAAACAATTTCAGTATGGAGGACACCAGCTTGGTAAAGTGCTCTCCTCAGCTTTGCATTTTCATACCCTACGCTTTGAATATATGAGTTATAGAACATACTTTTGATAGAAGGCTTATACATTTGGGGAACACAAATACACTTAGCATATAATGTAGCCAGTAATAACTAGCACCACAGCTACATGGAAATCCTTTACATACACCAACTTGGCTCTCACTTTTAAAACAAAACTCAGAATCCATGGCTCAGTAGGATAACTATAATTGTGTTGCTCTGCTTTTTAACAGGTCTACATAAGTTAACAGCACTGGAAAAAAAAAAAAAAAAGGATAGCTTTAGACCTTTTACAAGTTTAGCAGACAGTGCTAGTGACCACAAATAGACTCACTACCTGATGTCCAAGTACAGGTTCACTGGAAATTGCTGCACGTTAGTTAAGTTTTTAAAATCTTTCTACATATAATAAAAAAAATATATTATGAACAATACAAGTACATCTCATATACACAATAATAACAAAACACCTACTCAAAGCAAACAGATGCATAAAAATATTATGGGAGATTTCCTTTTTCTTTCTTTCTCCTTTTCTTTTTTCTATTTGAATAACTTTGGTTCCAACCATAAAAATCACAACTTAGCAAATTTCATTTAAATGCCTTTTTTAATAATTTCTTCATGTTCACAGAAGTTTCACTGACCATTTTTTAAGGTCCAGATGCAATGCATATTGTATAAAAGAGAGCACTTATTGTTTACCTTGCATGAATTAAACCTACGTACCTTTAACTCTACAAACTTCTGCATAACATTTAGACAAAGCTCAGACACACAGCATGCCTAGCCCTCATATATATATACACATCTCTAATCACAGGTATATAGGGTGTCAAATATACTATAATAGCCTCCATGTAAGGTTTGAAATTTGGTAACAAAATGAGAAA